GCGGGCTGCTGAAGTGTGATGTGTATGCGTGTGCCACAACGTGCGGGTGGTGGCCCTCTCTCTCCTCTCTCCTGCTGAATGTGGCTGCGTGGAGTCGTGTGTCTGTGTGCCTTTTTTTTGTGCTTCTCTCTCTCGTTCTCCCTTTGGCTGGCGGTGGGTGCTCAGCCGCAGCGCAAGCCAACAACAGCTGCGAAGGAAGGAACTCATGTGAGCAATGCCTGGGAGGCGCGAGGAAGGAGTTCGCGCTGCCGCGGGGGCGCCCTGCATCTGCTGCGCTGCAGGGACGGCGTCGGTGGAGGTCGGGGCCCGCCGGCGGCACTCGGCAGCCCGCAGCGCGGCGCGGAAGGGCGGAGGAGGCACCGCCGCGGCCACAGTGAGCCGTTGACCGCACGGTGGAGGGAGTGTGCGAGTTTGCGCTCAACACGAAGTGGAGCCACGTCTTGGGGTTTCCTGCGGCTGAAGGGAGGGGGAAGTGGCGGTGCGGACGGCGGTGGAACGGGGCCACACACACCCCAACGTAGTCGGGGGCGTGCACGGTGCAGGGGACAACTCCTCCACTGCAGGACAGCGTTGCGCAGCTTCGTGCGCCGCGTCCCAGCCTGACGGGACTCGCCTCCGCGGAGGGCTGGCCGTGCCCGCTGAGGGAGGGAGGGAAAATTGCCGGCTGCTGCGTTCACCCTGCGGTGGGGCGGGTGTGACGGATTGTCAAGGGCGGCTGGGGAGGGCCGCATCGCACCAAAGGACCAGAATTGTTTGAGGTGAGGCGGCGTGTCTTGATTGGGGCGCCCGGGATAGCGATCTCGGTGGTGGACGAGTGCCGGCCCCTAATCCCCTCCACCGGCCGCTGCACCGCGATGAGTGCCCGCTCCACTTTGCTCTCTGCTGCCTCGGAGGCGAGTTGGCGGAAGTGTTCGACACGGCCACGCAAACGGCGACAGGGCACGAGGGCGAGCTCGAGGTCCGAGGGCGCGTGAGCGATTTGTCGTGGTGGGCAAGAGGGTGTGTATTGTCTACGATGCGCCAGAGGAGGGAGCACCGCCGCCGTGGGTAAAATTACGGCCTTGTGGGTGGGGCATGATTGCGTGTTGGCGTCTGCAAAGGGGAAATAACTCGAGAGCACTGGCGATGCGACTGCATCTCTGCCTCGCCCCACCATGCGCTGCCGCGACGAGGAGGAGGCGAAGGCGACGTGTGCCTGGCGGACGCGCGCCATCATCCCGCGCAGGAGCAAAAGAAGTAGTGGGAGGCGGTCGCGGGTCGCATGCAGCTTGTCGGACCGCTGCCGCGTGAAATCTTCAGTGCGGCTGCGTTCAGTGGGCGCACTGCGGCGGTTGACGACGCCCTGCGGGCGACTGACACCCCGGTTGCTGAAGACGACTGTCCCCGGGAAGGCGCGAAACTGTGGGGTGCGGGGAATCCGTTTCGGAGGTCTGTTAAGATTGAGCGGGAGTGTGGCGCACACGATGTGGAGGCCGTGCGCTACACAAATGTGTGTTGCTTCTTTGATCTTCGAATGGGGGGGCACGTTTGTGTGGGGTTCTTGGCCCCAGCGAGGGTCTCTCGGGGTTACGGCGTGCCGCTCGCCCTCCTGAAAAGCTCCAGAAGCCGTGTGCCACGGACCCACGCACACACACGCTGGGGGAGGAGGGCCTTCTGCGGGAGCGGCATTAAAAAAAGAGGGAGGGGCTCGCGGGGCTGCGGTCGCCAACGGGACGGCGTGCAAGGCGCTGCGTGTTGCGGGCGGGCCCGGCGTCGCGTCCCGGGGAGGGGCTTAGCGATGTGGGCGCCGCAGGAGCCGGCAGGCCGAGAGGGTGGACGCAACGTGCGGGGAGCTGCACGGGGGGCGGCGACCGAAAACGCTCTGCTCTTGGGCGCCTCCTTTTTTTGTTGTTTTGTGAGTTCTCCGAGGGCGGGGGAGGAGTTTGTTTGGGCTGCGGTTTGCAGCGGCGGATGCGCAGCACAACACCACCGCCAGCGCGGCGCAGCAGCGGCCCAGTGAGTGAAGGACGATGTGTATATTTTTAAGCGGCTGGGAAAACTGTTCCCGATGGGTGTTGGTGGGGGGTGTTGTTTGCGTGCGGCGGGCGGGGAGAACACTCCAACACGCACGCGGCGCGGAGGTGCCGCAATTCCGTGGATTTGGGCGGCGGCGTTGGGGAAGTGAGCAGCGGAGTGCAGCAGCGGACTGCGTTTCTACCGAAGTGCTGGAAGGGATTGTTTTTTAAAAAATATATATTTGTGTTTGTGTTTATTTACCTGCGGGCACGAGGCACAGCCGGCGGGCGGCGCTGCTGCGGGGAGGAGGAGGCGCCGTGCCCCGTGGTGCCTCGCGGCAGCACTGTTTTTTAGGTTCACGTTGTGTTTCTCCCAAATGCCCTGGCACCGCCAAAGACGTCTGCGTGGGGCGGGGGCGGGATGAATTTATTTTCGTGCGGCTGCAGGACGCTGCTGCGTGAACTTAGCGGGCTGCCGCCTTTTTATTCCTTCCCTCTCCCTGCCCTCACTCTCTGCGCCGCACCCCACCGCGCTCCCATTTCTCTCTCTGTTTCTTCCTCTCCGCTGCCCCGCAGCCCACAGGCTCTGCTGCGACGCTACTGCCACCACCACCACCACCACCGTTTTTACTGATGGCGCTGACGGTGCGGCGCCGTGCGGTGTGCGCCCTGGCGCTCCTCGCGCTGCTCTGCGGCGGCTGCGTCTCGTTTGTCTGTGGGGCGGACGCTGAGGAGGCTCAGACGACCGGGGATGTGAATGTGTCGGTGGAGGTGTCGTGCCCGAACACTGAGAAAAAGTTGAGTTGGCGCGTTGCCGGCGAGGGCGGTTCTGCTGCCTGGAACACGTGCCCCACCACACCGGGGGGTTCGGAGGGCAGTGGAGGCGCTGCTTACAGTAATTCCATCTGCCTCACTGCCGGTTCGGTGTACCTGGAGAAGTTCTTGACGGGGAAGTGCCCTGCATCCCAGCCAACGGATGGCGGAGACGCTGCTTTGTTCACGATGAACTGTACGGCGGCCGCAAACAGTGCGCTGCACAATCTGTCGAAGGGCGAAACAGTTACCATCAGTCCAACTGAGGATCCACTTGGCGAGTCCGGCGATTGTGAGCTCCCAACCACCAGTCAAACCGCGGCTGAAGTGCGGTCTGGACCCCAACCGCATGGACAACAGCAACCAGCAGGCCCACAGACACCACAACCACAACCGGGAGCAGCACTGCCAGCGGCCTCATCTGCAGCACAAACTCCGCAAGTAGCCCGTGCGGGGAATGGAGGCTCCACTGCTACTGTTGGGGAGCAGCCAGACAGTGCGGAGCGAGGCGGAAGTCAGGAGCCATCGACAGAAGGTCGTTGGGAAACACCAACGCCATCGGCTGGCAATGCGGCTTCTTCAGCACAGACAACAAACGGGGCAGCCGATGCACCCGGAGGTACACAAAGAACTTCAACCCCCCAAGGCCCTTCCGACACGCCCAACGCCGCCCCTTCCGCCGGCGGCAGCGATGCAACCACCACTACTACAACGACGACCACCACCCGCGGCCCTAGTGCTGGGAACGACGCGAAAGGCAACACGAAAGGCAGTGCCATCAACAGCAACACCACTCAGAAAGCCGTGCCAAATACTGCGGATCGCAGTGCCACCTCCACTCCGTTTGTGGACGCATCTTTGCTACTGCTGCTGCTCACAGCCGCCCTTGCCTGTGCTGCTGGGTAAGTGGTGAGGGGCAAAAGATAAAAACGCACACACCCTGGCAGGGACGACGCGTATTCTTTGTGTGCTCATTTTGCTTGTCGTCCCTGTGGGTCAATCCTCCTCTCCCTCCTGTGCTCTGAGGAATGTTTACTCTTCTTTTTCTCCTTTCGTTTGCTTTGCCACCCCATGCACGGTCCCATGGGCGGCGCCCCCTTTTCCCCCTCCTGTTTGCTGCTGCTTCCACAAACACACACGCGGTGCCGGTCGCATTGCTGTGCGTCGCACGGATTTTGACGCAACTGAAGTGTTGAAGTGCCGGCCGAACGCCGCATGAAATGGGCGAAGGATGTGTGGGCTCCTGCAGCATGGGCGATGTTTTTTCTTCGTGTAGGGATTAAAATATACATGCATCTCTCACAGTCCTCTTGTGCTGCTGGACGCGTGAGGTGAAGGAACACCACCTG